GCCACTTCCCGGCGTGGGCTCAGAGTTTGGGGAAGCCGAGCAGGTGGCGCAGCCACTGCCCACCTCCTGCGAACTCTGCGGGGCTTCTAGTCTTGTTGATGTTGTGACTATGGGCTGTGTGTGTTTTTTTCTTTTCTTTTTTTTTTTAACCACACACAAAAGAAGGGAGGAGTTAGAGGAAAGATTTAGCCACTATGAGTCATCCCACACTTCGCTCTTTCCCCGGGATAGCAAATGCATGGGGAGAATGTCTTGAGAAACAGTTATAGTAGGGACTGCCTAGGTCCCCTCCCTGTCCCCTTTCTCTGCAGTCCTGTCTGCGCCCGGCGCGCCCCAGATGGAGGTGGGGTAAAATGACGGCCAGCGCACCTAGATGGGGGAAATGGCTACAAGCTAGCAAGCTGGAAACTTTCTGGGACAGTGGAGCTGTGAATATCGAACCACTCACATTCTTGCTATAGGCAGCCATGGCCCTCGTGCGCTACTGAATTATAAATGGGAAGGCCGTCACAGCAGGACGATACCTTAGCCTTCAGTAGCATGAATTCAGCACTGCACGGAGGAGGGCGGTGGTGGTGGTTCACGCCTCTGCCTTGAGGGGCCCAGGATCGGATCAGCCAGGAAACTGCCAGGACCGGGGATGTGGGGTCACAAGTGATCATGTTCTCTAATCTGATTCCCAGAGCTGCTGTCACCTCTCAGCGTGGCAGAGGATGGCTGGCTATGTGGTTGAATGTCACAGGTGAGGTACAAAGGCTGGGCAGAGGTCAGCAGGCCCCTGGATGCCTGGAGAGGAATATTCTTCTGTAGGCGGCTGCTGCTAATTTTTCCAAGGGGAAACATTTAGGTTTGGTGTCGCCATTCTGTTTACTGCAGTCCAGGCTGCTGTGTCAGCTGTCATTGGGTCCTCATGGTTCACAGCTGGATGACATTTGTTTTTCGCGGGTCCCTGTGTGGGGTCTTTTTGACCTTCTCACAGATAATTAATTTGTTTTAACCTGCTGAAAACAGAGGCTTGATACGAGAAGTTTGAGAACTTGTAGGATAAAGGGACCTCTGCTTTGTTCCAGATTTCAGCCCCTGTTGAGGGGCCAGTTGATTCTGTTGCAGGAGTCAGGTAGCGAGCAGAACACTGACTTCATTCCTCCCGGGTTGTGCCCTCTGCTTGGCCTGTAGCTGAGGCCACAGTGGGTCTCTCTTGTTGCTTCATAAGGTGAACTAACGATCCAGCTATGGCAGAGGAGCCAGGCGGGACATCACGTGGAGAAGAGGGACCAGAAAGTGCAAGCTAGGGCCCATCTGGAAGAAAACAGAGCATCCCTTCCTATTTCATGGCCTGAGTGTAAAAAACGGTGGAGGCTGGGCACGGCGGTTCACACCTGTAATCCCCATGCTTTGGGAGGCCGAGGCAGGAGGATCGCTTGAAGCCAGGCGTTTCAGACCAGGCTGGGCAATATGGTGAGACCCTGTCTCTACAAAAAAGTTTTTAAAATAGCCAGGCATAGTGGCATATGCCTATAGTCCCAGCTACTGAAGGCTGAGGTGGAAGGATCCCTTGAGCCCAGTAAAGTGAGGCTGTGGTGAGCTATGATCATACCACTGCACTCCAGCCTGGGTGACAGAGTGAAACCCTGTCTCATAAAAAAAGGGGAAGGGGTGTAGAGAGGGTGGTCCCCCATCTCTACCACCTTACTCAGACAGGGCTTCTTTTACCTGAGTGCCAAGCCTGGCTCAGGTCATTGAGGAACAGAAGTCGTTTAGTGTTAGAGGAAGGAGAGTTGGGAACAGGGTCACTGTGTATGGTTGTACAGTTTGTACCAGACACCGGACCAAGGAAGCCATGTGCCCTGGGTCTGCCCAAAAGAAGGGTCTGCCTTTCTCAGTTGCACCAGGTCACCCGATGGGCTGCTGCTGGCCCTAGTGCTCAGCCCATCTGCAGGAATAAACAGTCGCAGCATGGGTGTGCTCAAGACAGGCGGTCAGGGACTAGGAAGCAGCGGCTAATTTCTCCAAAATCTAACAATAATGAGAACTGGTTGTTTGCATGCATTTTCTCCCTTTAATCCTTTACCACCGCCCTCTGAAGAAAGTAGTGGTGATACCATGTTATGCCCAGTGAGGAAACTGATTCTTGGAAAGACTAAGCAGTTCCAGGTCGTGCAGCCGGCAGGTCCAGGTTTGTCCGTCACCAGAACCTTTGGTCTCAACCACTGGACTAGACTGATCACTTTGCCTGGCCTTCTAACAAATTGTAGCTTTTTTTTTTTTTTTTTTTTGCATTTCCTAGTGAAAGGCATTTTCCAAACTATTCCACTATGTACATGAACAGTAAATCCCTTGAAAGAAAAGAGCATTTGTCAGTATTTTCGGTGGCAGCAAAGATGAGGGAGGCCTTGGAGAAAGGAGAAGGAGCCCCCTGAGATAGAGAAGCAGGGGAGTCACAGCGAGGAGGAGAGAGCCAGCCAGAACTAGGAAATGATGTGGGGGCAGGGGCATTGGAGGTAGGCCAGGTTCTCTGCTGTCCCTGCAAGAGCAGAGGAGGAGATCATCTGAGATCCACTGAGTCATCCATCCAGTTGACTTCCCAAGAGTTTGGACCTGGCCTACCAGGGTACCTGGTTGATGGTACGGTCCACAGTCTACCTTACATATACTGGGGCTGTTGCTTGGAACATATTGCTTGGAACATGATTATTGCTTAGAGCATGATTATTGCTTGGAACATGATTATTGCTTGGAACATGATTATGCTTAGAACATATTATGCTTAGAACATATTGTGCTTAGAACATATATTGCTTAGAACATGACTATGCTTAGAACATAGTCATGTTCTAAGCAATCTGAGGTACGGCTGCTAATTTAGGAGCACAAAGTATTTCCTGATTTAGTATTCTACTTAGAAGGCCATTTGAACCTTGACAAACGTGTATGAAATAATTTTCAAATATTTGGGACTGAAGCAGATAATATGCAGGCTCAGTGGTACACTCCTGTAGTCCCAGCTACTTGGGAGACTGAGGCAAGAGAATTACTTGTGCCCAAAAGTTGAATCTAGTCTGGGCAACATAGCAAGACACCATCTCCAAAAATATATTGCATGAGCCAGTAAATTCACTATTGAAACAATAAAGCAGATAACGTCAAAACCAGTTACATGACCTTTTGTCAACTCATGACTCTATTGTGCATTTCAAATTGCTATAAATTGTTTGTTTTCCTTCACAGTAATTTTCTAAATTTTCTTATTCTCTCCGTGTTAAATCATAGTATCTTCCTAACTATTCAGTGTTTGGCTTTGTTGGGGTTTGTTGTTTCCGACAGGGTCTCACCCTGTTGCCCATGCTGTAGAGCCGTGGTGTGATCTCAGCTCACTGCAGCCTGGAACTCCTGGGCTCAAGCAGTACTCCCACCTCTCAGTCTCCCGAGTAGCTGGGACTGCAGCCATGCGCCTCCACACTCAGCTAATTTTTGTATTTCTTTGTAGACATGGGGTTTCGCCTTGTTGCCCAGGCTGGTCTTGAACCTCTGGGCTCAAGCCATCCACCCGCCTCAGCCTCCCAAAGTGCTGGGATTACAAGTGTGAGCCATTGCAACCAGCCTTGATTTGTTGTTTTTTAAGCAGCAGGAGTAATTTCTTTAGCTGAAATGTAAGCATAGATGTTGAGGCCTGTGTGCTGACCTGTGTTATGTTTGCGTTGTAATTTAGATTCGAGAAGTGGTTTATCCTTTGACTGGAAAAGAAAAGTAGCTGCAGTATTCCCCCAGCACTTGCTGAGAGCATGCCTTACGTCAGGCTGTGAGGCTTGAGAGACAAGCAGTGGAAGAGTTGTGGCCTGTTTCATCTCTGGATTATACATCCGAGCCTCCTTCTGGCTCCTGGAAGGGGACAGCATCACCATGGAATGGTGTGTCCCGTTGCCTGTTGGATCTGTCTCCATCTTCACTCAGACAGAAGGCTATAGAAGGATGCCTGTGACTTCAGGTGGCCTATTTGGCTGGCTTTTTATTGATTCCATGGTCTGGGGTATCCACTTAGAGATCCAGAAACAAATACATCCAAACTGTCTTCCCAGTCAGGGGGCTGGGATTCTCTTTCATCTCGGCAGGAAAAGAACAGGGTCCAGGTCCCTTAGTAAAGACAGGAGCCTCGGTACCAATCAACCAGATACTAAAAGGGATTTCCCACAGAAAATCATTCTGTGCCTCTGCTTTCAGCCTTCTGGAAGAAAGTGTAATAGCTGGCCTCCCCTGAGCCTTCATTACAGCCAGGCGGTGTTGGGAATCCCGTTTAACCCTCATGACAACTCTAGAAGGCAGGCACTCCTACCACCCCCATTTTAGTGTTGAGGAAACAGGCCCAGAGAGGTCAAGTGAGTTGCCCAGAGGTACCCCAGGTCAGAACCAAGCAGTCTGACCCAAACCTGATCCTGGTGAGTCCAAAGAAAGCCCCTGTCCAGGATGTGGTGGGAATGGGGACAGATAAAAGTGTGAGTTTGGGGGTAGGTTGGGATTTGTTTTGGCGAATTCCAAGGCAGGAAGCTATCAGGCACCTCTCACCCCTGACCGTTAAGATGCTTTGCAGAGGGCCGCAGGGGGTGGGCTCAGAGAGGAAAGAGGCTGTGCACAGGACCGCACAACTAACACATGGCAAGGGTAGGGCACAGGCATCCCCGGTGAGAAACATTATGCCCATTTGAAAGAAAAGTTCAAAATAGTATATATTTTTATCTTGACTCTTTCACCAGGATTGAAGGTCATATCCTCACATCGAATAGCCTCCCTTCCTTTCCTTTGTATGGCTCAGCCTTTTCTGGGACAAGATATTGTCCCCACCAGTCATTTCCTCTATCTGTCCTCTGCGTCGAGCCACTAGCCTAGGAACCCAGCATTCGATCCTGTGCCCCGCCTTAGGGTTTCTCCATTCGACTCCCCTGTCTCTGTCTCAGAGTCTCAGCTCCCTGGCCTGTGTGCCTGAATGCTACAAATAGACCATAAGCTCTTTCAGAAGCAGGATTGTGTTTTACACACTACCCTCTCTCCTGCCACACACGCAGTGTGCTAAAACCCAGCAATGACTATTTATTGATTTTTCTTGATTGGATGAGGTAAGATGGTAACTTCTTTTTTTAAAGCTCTGTAAACTGGTTCAAGGATGATTAAAAATGATTTGCCTTGTGGGCTTGATGAGGATACCATTAAATTCATGTTTCTAAAGGGTATTCCAGCATCAGAAACCAAAGGGCATCTGATCTGATAGATCCTGTGGTCGGGCCCAGGTATCTGCATGTGTCCCGTGTGACTTTTCTGCCCACTAAAGTTTGAGAAGCACAGCTTCAAATTGTTAATGATCACATCCTATAAAATCATAGCATAAATGACTATCTAGCTGTTACTCACGGTGCCCACTGCAGAAACGGTCCTACCAGTGTTGATGAATATTTATATGGTGTTGTCTTTCCTGCAGATTCCTAACCAGCATAATGCTGGAGCCGGGGGCCAGCAGCCTGCAGTTTTCAGAATGGCCGTGTTGGACACTGATTTGGATCACATTTTTCCATCTTCTGTTCTTCCTCCACTCTGGGCTAAGTTAGTAGTGGGATTGGTTGCCGTTGTGTGTTTTGCACGCAGCTATGATGGAGACTTTGTCTTTGATGACTCAGAAGCTATTGTTAACAATAAGGTTTGTATCTCAACTCTCTTCTGGTAAACTTAACTGCCCACCTGTGTCTCAGTAATCATCTAAGTTTGTGTTGCATTGTTCTCCGTGGAACGTAGGGTAAGCATTGGCCTGGGCCCCAATGGTGCTCTCGATTTTTCTGTCTCTTTTCAACATCGCCTCCTTGATTTAGTGCCTTTCTTATTGCTGTCACCAAGGTTCCGAACCCCTGCCTGAGCTCAGACGTTCCCCTCAAGAGCCCCAGTCCCCATATGGATCAAAGAGGCCGTTCTTCTAAGATGACAAGGCAAGGGTATTGCAGGGCATTGCAGACTTAGTATTTCAGATTTTGTGAAACATTTCCACAGTTGTTCAAAAAAAAAAAAAAACCCATCATGCATTTGCTGCAGTGATGGACGGGTGTGATCACCTGCCAGAAGGTGCGTCTTCAGCAGCAGGCAGGGAGCTGGCTGCCGCTTTGTCCTTCTCCGAGACTGTCAGGACAGCCTGCTGACAGCTGCTGGGGCAAGAGGAATGTGCTGCCAATGGGCACTGCAGTTCCTGCTTGTTTGGTGTTCGGAGAGTCAGTTTTGCTGGACTTGCAGAATCCCAGTCAATTTTGCTTACCAGTGGTTGCTATGTATCAGTGCAGGAAAAATGGTAATCTTTTTCCACTCCCTACCCGGAGTTAGGGCAAAAGAAAGAGGTTTGTGGGAAAAGATGAAAAAGATTCAAGCAGGCTACAAACCAGAGCAAGAAATGCAGAGGCAAGCAAGACCCAGAGGAGAAAGAACTCGGAAATGGCACAAGTTAGTCTCTCGACAATCTATTACTCAGAAGATATTTTCTGTGTGTTCCTTAGCCAGTGAAGAAGACTTGGAGGAAAATACACATTTAGCTCCCTGCTAGATATAATTAGAGCAACTCTTTGTAACACTGTTGAATGCTCTTAAAAATCTAAAGTCATGGATTCTACCAAATAAGTGGAAAGTCATTTTCATGCTGAAAATGTTGAGAACTCTCTATGTGACAAGCATGTATTGTATGGGGGGGAACATGACTGATTTGCGTATATTTATTTGTGACATAATATTGCAATTGATCTTCATTTTGATGGCACAGACTAGATCATTGTTAATGGGTTTTTGTTGTTGTTGTTGTTGTTGTTGAGACAGTCTTGCTCTGTTGCCCAGGTTAGAGTGCAGTGTCACGATCTTGGCTCACTGCAACCTCCGCCTCCAGAGTTCAAGCAATTCTCCTGCCTCAGTCTCCCAAGTAGCTGGGACTACAGGCATCCCATGCCTGGCTAATTTTTGTATTTTTTGGTAGAGATGGGGTTTCACCATGTTGCCAGGCTGGTCTCGAACTCCTGACCTCAGATGATCTGCCTACTTTGGCCTCCCAAAGTGCTGGGATTACAGGCATGAGCCACCACACCCGGCCAATGTTTATTTTTAATTCAAGTTCTTCATTTGTAATTTTCCTGAAATTCACTCAGCAGTTACTGTAGATGATTCTGTTTCAGTTCTTTTTTAAACCATGCTTAAAAGGACTAAGTAAGTCTACACAGCTATGTCAAACTGGTGGCTTTTTCATGAGGTGGGGACAAAGTCTTAACTCTGTTGCCCAGGCTGGAGTGCAGTGGTGCAGTCATAGTTCGCTGCAGCCTCCAATGCCTGGGCTCAAGTCATCCTCCCTTCTTAGCCTCCCGAGTAGCTAGGATTACAGTCATGCACCACCACGTGCAGCTGATTTTTAAAATTTTTTGTAGAGACAGAGTCTCACTGTGTTGCCCGGCTGATCTCAAACTCCTGGCCTGAAGTGATGCTCCCACCTTGGCCTCCCAAAGTGCTGGGATTACAAGCACAAGCCACCATGCCCAGCACAGATTGGTGGCTTAATGGCCACAGAATTGTTTTTCTCACAAAGATAGAGTTTTATTATTTAAATTCCATTATTCGTTTTGGTGAGAATATCTTGACTCTTCCACTCGTGTGAAGCAGAAGACATATAAAGTGTTAATTCAGAAACCATGTTGAAAAATGTTGGTCAGCTAGGAAGAACAAAAACACGAGCTGTGTTGTGTGTGGAGGCCCTGGTGTCTGGGTGTAATTCTCGTTCCTTCTGTGAGGTGAGGCAGATGAAGCCATTTTGTGGTTCTGCTGAGCATGGTCTTGGCAGTGTTTTTGGGAGCATCACACTGTGCCCCTTTTGTTAACTTGCTAGCCCTCCCTTTTTCTTTTCCTAGTTAATGAAAGGCACTCCTCCATTCATTGGCACTGTGCCTACAGTAATGTGAAACAGGCTGTTACTGGATTTTAGTGATGTTAGAGACTGTTTTCCAGATGCTTCCTTGCCGTGTGGAGTTGCCTTTTTTGTTCCTTGAGATGATAATCTTTGAGACAGTGGAGTTAGGGGGAATTTTAGACACAATACATTTTTTCCATAAATCATTATGCGGAAGAATTGACCTTTCTTTCTGTAGCACACCCTGCTGTGGAGGCTCCACCTAATCAAATATTTAGAGCCTCGTTGGTGTTCATTTCCTGTTCAAAGGGAGGAAAAGATCCTCCACCCAAGCCCCTCACAGCTGACCGGGTGCTTCTGTAAGAGTGTAGAAGAAGGTAGGTTTCCAGGCTTGTCACTGAGTCAACGAAGGGAGCAGGTAACTCACACGACCTTCACAGAATCTCTAACCCATTCTCGGGGAGTGGTCAGTGTACTCCTGGCCTCTGAAGCTGATCACTGTGGAAGCAAATGTCACCCTTAACAGTGGACATTGGTGACCAGCTTTGCATCTGTCACCTCTTTTCAAGCCTTTCCCTTTGAGTTAGCAAGCGCTTAAGTCGCAAGTGCCGAGCTGCACGGTGGGTGTGGACCTTTATTGCTCTTTGGGGCCACCCATCATTTGACCCATTTCTGTTTGGGGCATTCTTAGGTGCTCAGAAGACGATTTGATTAGGGAACTGGCACAGATGGGCTGTCCCGTCAGGTGCGCCCACCTGTTGGAGTTAGGAACTGGTCACGCGAGGTGGGGGCCCAGATGCAGCCGGGCAGTCTCTGCAAGGTGCCCGGGGCATGATGGGTGGCTTTGCTCCTGCCATGTGGCCCTGCCCTGGCTTTCCAGGCCACAGGGGACTCTGTGAGCTGCACACTGCCCTTTGAAGAATTCCCTTTTTGTTTAAATTAATCAGAGTTTGGTTATTGCAATGAAGAATCTTGACTGACAACCCAGGGAAATGATCAGCATGTTGTTATTTCTAGTCCCTAAAACATTGGTTTAATTACGCTTTAAAGAGAAAGTTAATCTGTCATTTTTCTTACGTACTCCACCACAGTGCCTTGTTTGCCTCTCTTCTCTTTAGACACAATTTAAGCCATCTACTTTCATCTTTTAAATGTAAAAAAGAATGCATTTTAAGCATCTGTAGTATAGTACCAAATTAAACTACCTCAGCAGTAAGAGAGGTATAGAGTTTTTTTAATATTGAGTGATTTTTGTGTGTAAAAATTAAGGGGTTTTTTCTGATTTCATAGTCTGCTAGCTCATGATCAAAAATGGAAACTTAGGAAAATATGTTTATCCACTTTTGTGTTTTAACTGGGACATTTTGGTAAGTTACCCTATTTATTAGATGTGAGAAGTTAATAGTGATCTTATTTAGCTGTGTGGTCCACTTATATTTGACACATATTAAGCACCTTCTGTATATAGCCAGCAAACCCAGATGTGGCCCAGTCCTCGTGGAGCCCAGTCTAGTGGCACAGACAAATAGTCATGTGACTGTAAGTCGCCAGGGTGCCACGCACTGCTTGACAGGGTGAGATGCCCAGAGACCCATGGAAGAGGGACGGGATCAGCTCAGGAAGGGCAGAGCTGGGCAGCTGGGAGATGAATGGCGGGAGGAGTTGAGCCGTGAAGAGTTGAGGGTGACTGTCCAGGGACGACCCGCACATGCAGAGCCTCTGGGTTGGGAGCTGGCAGGAGCACAGCACCAGAGACATGGGCCTGCAGAGTTCAGGGGAAGCTGTCAGTCCCAGGAGGGTGAAAGCTGATCGGTGTTTGAAGCCCGGTGGGGTGAGCCCATGTGTAGTTTGAGATGATCAACATAGAGAACATGCTGGGCGCAGCAGCCCCGCTAGGAGGCCTGACTGCATCCCGGGTGAGAGATGGAGGAGCTTGGCTTAGGGCTGGTGGGAGACCCTTGTCCAGAACGTCCCCTTTGTGTCCCTGCAGGACCTCCAAGCAGAAACGCCCCTTGGGGACCTGTGGCACCATGACTTCTGGGGCAGTAGACTGAGCAGCAACACCAGCCACAAGTCCTACCGGCCTCTCACCGTCCTGACTTTCAGGTAAGCCGTGACATCGAAGGGCCTGGGAAGGTCACTCCCGGCTTGTGTGTGACATTGGAGACAGGTGTGTGTCAGCAGGCTCTCAGCATTCAGGAGTCCAGTCAGTGACTCAGGTGGGGTCTGAGCTGCTCACATACATGGATGTCTAGGTGCAGAGAAGGCGAGCGGGGCCCCTGTGAAGGACGGCATGCACATGGGTGGTGGTTCATATTTTTCTCAGTTCTTGGAGGTTTGACCCTTTGCTGGTTAACACCAATGGAATAATATGAGTGAAAGTGACATGAGGCCTCTGATGAAACTTACCTTTTTCACTACAGAAATAAATAAGGTATAAGTCTTCCTACTGTTACCAAGTCAATATGCAAAAGCAAGATGCAGCTTGCAAACAATCCCCCCTCCATTACACAGGGAGCCACTTGCACTGAATAGATGCATTCACCTCACAAAGGTTCTCGTCCATACCTGCTTCTCGGGTGCATTTAAACACTTGTGTGTAGACGTCCCACAGGAGCGTAGGAGTGATGAATTGGAACCACCAGCAGCTGAGAAGCAGTCAGACTAGGAATCCCTGCCAGCGGAGGGTGTTTCGCTGGGGGAAGGCTGGTGGGCATACTGATAAGGAGCCCTTTGGAGGATAAGCAAGGTATAAGACTCTCTTAAATCCAGGTCCCTAGGGGGTAGCCATGAGTCATGTGTGGAATATTGTATCTTCCTGGAATGCAGCCTTGCCCCTTCTGCATGTAAAACATCATCTAGCTTTCCTTTCGATTTTCCTCTGCAAGTTGCTTCAGTGCCACTCGCCTTGGACACATCCATTTCATCCCTTTTCCCTGTAGTTACATTCCCACCTTTTCCACAGCCTTCTTAGCTCGACAGGCATTATTTATCCTGGTGCTATTTTTATCAAGCTGGCACAAAGTCTTCCACTTCTCCTTTTAGTATTTCCACACACAAGCCTTCCCCTCCAGATCGTTGCCATTTCTTGCCGCTTGCCGCTGCACGTGTACCCTGAACTCCCTGTGTTTCTGCAGGATTAACTACTACCTCTCGGGAGGCTTCCACCCTGTGGGCTTTCACGTGGTCAACATCCTTCTGCACGGTGGCATCTCTGTCCTCATGGTGGACGTCTTCTCGGTTCTGTTTGGCGGCCTGCAGTACACCAGTAAAGGCCGGAGGCTGCACCTCGCCCCCAGGGCATCCCTGCTGGCTGCGCTGCTGTTTGCTGTCCATCCTGTGCACACCGAATGTGTAAGTGTCATCTGCACGAGGCATCTGTATGCACGTGAGAAGTGATGTGACACCCCCGTGTCGCCTGGTTTCCTAAAACAGGCTCCCTTTATGTACCCATCTTGGTTCCAGAGCTGGAGAAAGTCTACTCCACAGTATACTCTAGAAATAGAAAGGACACTACATAAATACCCTGCCAGACATTTGAAACAATTCTGTCTGGGGCAGAGACATCTCTCTGGTGAAAAAAATGCAGAGCACCATATTGGTGGAGACTGTGTAATAAGGTATGGTGTGATCTCTGCTGATACTTTCTGTTGAGCTTCTAGGATGACACCAGCGGTGCAGGCACGGATGTTAAATATTGCTGGGCTTTGGGGTCTGAAGTTCAGCGGCTAAGAACTATTCTTCAATGGAGGGTCTGATGCAGTGTTTCTGTGTTCGCTGACAGTTTTATGATTTATAAAATCCTTTCTTAGACTTAACATGATTGTTACGAAAACGCTGTGACATCACCTGGGCTAATATAACCGTTTCCACTTTAGGAATGAGGGAAAGGCGTGGGGGGATAAAAATTTATCCAGAGTGAGGAGTAAGTGAATGTCAGGCAGGACTTAAATTCTGGGCTTCCCCGGCCTCCGCTGAGGAGATGCTGACATACTTGGTGTTGAACTGGAAAGTGGTGCCCGTGCCCTGCTGGGGAGCTGCTCGTGAAGCCTCTCCACCCTCCTCCTCCTCACCCTGTGTGATCCTCTCCCCAAGGTGATCAGGCAGCTCTGGTGGGTGCCCACCCTCCTGGAGGCTACGTCTCCATCCCATCGAGCTGCCTCTGTGTATTTGGAATAGGCTGTGCTGGGATTTCACTAGACATTTGTGAAGTTTTCAGGAACCACCCGCTGCACCACCACATGGACCCTTTGAAAATGCAAAAGGCAGCATGTTTGCAGAGGGACGAGATTTGACTCGAGTCATTCATTCTGTGAGCACGAGGTGCATAAAATAATCACATACACTTTATAACTTCCCTCACGGTAGACTTCTCATTTCATCGGGATTGAAATCTCTACATTTAACCAGTTGCATGTTGCTTCTTGGAGTTTCAAGATGCTGAGGAGAAGTCCTGTTTTTAGCATCTGACTTTATTAAACTGTCTATTCACTCCAGTATCAGGAGTGTTGTGGAGTTGTTATCACACCCTCCTCCTGATATCTTTTTAAATCTTTATTTTTTACCTCAGCAAATTCAGAGGACGTTAAGGGCTGGATAGGCTGGGGACTGCTGTGTAAATTTTAGTTATAAGCTCTTTATAGATAACTGTGACTGAATTAGACTTTGTTTCAATCCGAGTTCTCTCTGGGACCCAGATATAGTGTAGCCAGTGGTCCTGAATAAGGGACTGGAAGACAGGGACTCACTGGAGAAGTTCTGGTTCTGTCTTCCCTCTCATCTAGTTTAGCGTGATCTCAAAAGCAAAATAATACTTGAATTATTAGCCAAGGAAAGTTTTCTAAAATTCTCATTTTAAATATTCAGAATTTGATTTATAAAAAGGTTTCAAGTGCCAACAAGTATAACAGTGTGCTTACACACGTACACACTCACACACACACATTCTCTCTCACACACACTCACACTCCAGATAAATGTACCCTGGGAACATGTAATCTTAAAAGTCCACATTCTAGATGGTTAAAAGGAAACTGAGGCAGACTAGCTCTAGGAGAAAAAGGAGTATTTGAAAAACCTCTATCTCTTCCCCTCCCCACCATGACATCCACTCAAACTCAGATTTCAAGAAATACTTGCGGATAATTAAGAGTTAGCGTTGGAAGACAGATATTTTGTATGTTTACCTTTCAGTGTTTCCGCAGATAGTATTCAGTTTCCTTCTGTCTGCATTCCCCTGTTATCTCCTACCCTGCAGTTAAAAATTCCAGCTCTAGGCCAGGCACAGGGGCTCACACCCATAATCGCAGCACTTTGGGAGGCCGAGGCAGGTGGATCACTTGAGGTGAGGAGTTCCAAACCAGCCTGGCCAACATGGCGAAACCCCATCTCTACTAAAAATACAAAAACGAGCTGGGCATGGTGGTGCACACCTGTAGTCCCAGCTACTCGAGAGGATGAGGCAGGAGAATCGCTTGAACCCAGGAGGCAGAGGCTGCAGTGAGCTAAGACCATGCCACTGCACTCCAGCCTGGGCAACAGAGCAAGACTCTGTCTAAAAAAAAAAAAAAAAAAATTCCAGCTTTAAAAACATGCAAAGAATGGAACACCCAAGGAAACGGGTGGCAGGCGAGCTCCTCCTAGGTGTTCAGCGAGGAGCCAGTCCCGCTTTCTGGCCGGCAGAGCCAGCAGCCTGAATCATGGCCTTGGGCACAGCAGCCCCAGCCACATTGATCCCTGTGGGATGAGGACAATGGGGATTTGGTTAGTAAACTGCCTCAGTTTACCCCATTTGTCTCAGTGTACATTTATTAAGAGACAGTAATAGCAGTATAGGCCCCTGCAGGTTTTAGTGACATGAATTTCTTTTTTTTTTTTTTTCTTTTTTTCTTTTTTCTTTTTTGATACACAGTCTTACTCTGTCACCTAGGCTGGAGTGTGGTGGCGCAATCTTGGCTCACTGCAACCTGCACCTCCCAGGTTCAAATGATTCTCCTCCCTCAGCCTCCCGAGTAGCTAGGACTACAGGCGTGCACCACCACACCTGGCTAATTTTTGTATTTTTAGTAGAGATGGGGTTTCACCATAATGGACAGGCTGGTGTCAAACTCTTGGCCCCAAGTGATCCACCTGCCTCAGCTTCCCAAAGTGCTGGGATTAGAGGCGTGAGCCACTGCACCTGGCCTAACATGAATTTCATTATATTAACATTTACATTAATATGTTTTAGGTCTTTACACTCTCCAACATTTCACACTGAAAATGATTTTGCCCGCTGCAAATAAGCACCTGAATTTTCCGGTCTTCTAGGGTGATCAGCCGTCTCGTGTGCCTGAGATTGAGAGGGTTCTGGGACTGGGGACTTTCCATTTGAAAGCAGTGACAGCCGGGCAAATAGGGATGACTTGGGCACCCCACAGTCTTGCCCCCTCCTGGTCTCCGCTTGGTGATGCTGTAATTGCAGTCAGTGTTTTGTGCTCCTCAACTGACGGGAGTGTCTGTCTTTTTCTAATGAGCCACCGCACATTGCTGAGTGGTTTGTAGACGCCCCAAGCCTCTGATAGGCCAGTCCCCACTGCAGAGAGGAGAGTCTGGGAGGGCCACACAGCCCCTGGTCTGCTGGTGGCTCTTCAGCTCTGTGTGGCCATCAGCAGGAGGATCCCAGCGCTTCCCTGAGGACAGAAGTGGCTTGTATGGGCTTTACTTTTTATTTTCCTCAGAATGTTGGGGAAGATTTCACTTTGTCTGAATTCCAACATCAAGGAAAGAAGCTCGGGCCCCCTTAAGAGTTCTTCCTGTAGCCGGGTGTGGTGGTGTGCGCCTGGAGTCCCAGCTACTTGGGAAGCTGAGGTAGGAGGACCGCTCAAGCCCAGGAGTTTGAGGCTGCAGTGAGCTATGATCACGCCAGTGCACTCCAGCCTGGAAAACAGAGTGAGACCCTGTCTCTGAAAGTGAAAAATGAAACAAAATGTTTAAAAAGAGTTCTGTCTATCTAATGAACCCAGACTTTAATCCAGAAGGAAGTTTCCCCACCCCCCTAATTCCTTTTCATGGCCCCCATGCAAATTGTACCTATTGGGGAAACAATGGTACCGCCTGCTTTATGGATTCAGAGGGATTGCAGTGATTTCTCCAGAAAACTCTGAGTGTTTCACGTTATTTGTGAGGAAAAAAAAAAATAGCCTTTGTAGAAAAGTTTGCCTAAAAATGCATATTATGCAAATATCAGAAAAGGAAAAGAAAATGTTTTCTTGCTTATGTACATTCTCAAACAGTGATTGGATACAGTCCCTCCTTGGGTAGCTTTTTAACATTCTTTTAGTGAAATGTCTCTTAATTACTATGCCAAAAACATTCATTGTAAATACTAAATGCTGTCTTGCTTTAAAACACTTCCCATACTTTAAAAATTTTGTTTTTCTGTATGTCAAGGAACATAATGTACATTGCTTAAAGTCGTGGGATGGTCTTCAACAATTAGCAGAAAGAAACATTTCTGTAAAAATAAGCTTTGGTGTTTAAACTTCATTTTTGGTGGTTCTTCAGATCTACCCTAGCCATCCAGATAGCAAGTGGTTTAGGCAGCCTGGCCCTCCTGGCCCCTAGCCTTAGTATTTTTCCAAACCACTTCCTTCCCCCTCTCTCACCTCACTTCCGCTTGGTCTCTGACACCTGCTCCCCCTGTTTCCTGTGACTCTGTTCTCTGTGGTCTCCTTCAGACAGGCTGGTCTGGCTCGGCGTTCATTGCTTTCTCTTCTCCAAAGGGTTGGGATTCCAGTCTATCCCGAGGTGCTGTAGATAGCCACAGCTCTAAGACGCTCCTGTCTCCTCTCGTGTCCTCCTGGCATGAGGACCACAGAGCCAGGATGCTCCAGCTGCCTCCTCACTCACCCAGGGCTGTGGAGATGACACCTGAGCTTCTGCGTCCTTTGTCCTTTGCCTTTCTGCTACTCCTGTTCATAGACACACCCCATAGGACCCACTGGGGAACTCACAGTGAGCCGCACCCACGCTGTACCAGGCTCTGTTCTGTGTGGCTCCATCTCTGACTATTTTACTGTGTCCCTGATGGAGTGAGTTTCCAGCCCTGAGTATTCCAGAGCTCTCATTGTATATTCATTTCATTCATAAAGCAATTGGATTGTTCCCCTCCAGCATACTGGCATACTTGTTCCAGATCTGTTAAGCCTTTGTTTTGTCCCTAGCTTCCTTCTCGGTAGTGTTTGTGTGTGTGTAGTGTTCGTTGGGTGGATTTATCAGCTTATTCAATCTTCCCAACCATCACCTAACACCATAGGCTGCCACGTACGCCTCATCGGGAGGTCACAGTTACAGTGACAAATGGTCCTTGGCATTTCATGTATAACCGGTGTAGGGGAATCTGCTCCTAAAAGACATTCTTTTTTAGCTACTGACTGCATGTGAACTTGAGAATCACATGTAAATGTAGTAATTTCATAGTCAGTGTATATTTTCTTATCTTCATTTATAGAAAAGTCCTTTATTCTGCAGCTCATATATCACATCCCCATCCTCTGGGAAGGGATTAACCTACCAGCCTTTAAAGTGATACCTGGACAATCACAGCAGAAGCTTTGGTCCGTGTCACATTCAGGTGCCAGTTAGTAAAGAATCCCACCTAAACTAGTCCAGTACTCCTGGGTGGAATTCTGTGTCTTTCATCACCGTACAGCATTGGGAGAACAATGACTGGAGTCATCAGCCTGAAAGAAAGAAACACATAGTTTATATTGCTTCATTCTCACTGAGGAAAGGAAGGGCAGAGTCACCATGTGGAAAATGTGGGAAAGAAATGGCAGAAATTGTATTCTGTGCTCATCCTACTTGTTAATCACTCTTGAAGCATTCGGCTTTCCAGGTTAACCCACTTAATCAGTTTTGGTCTGAAGGGAAAAAAAAAGGGGCAGAGGCAGCTTTGAAGGATTACTCCTGTGTCTTTTTCTATCGGCAGGACGGCTTTTCACACTTCTCTCGCACCTTTATGTCCTTCATGTTTCCAATCACATTTTATTTTTTAAATATCATGCCCTTTGAGCTGATAACATTTTCCAATTGAAAATCCACTTTGTGACCTCAGAAGACTGTCTTTGGAGCTCTTGGGTATCGTGTGTTAAAGAACACAGCTCACAGCTTTTACGGCACACACATATCGCCGTCTGTGTCCAGCAGAATAGCTAGCAGCAGGTTCAAACCAATCCGCTGTTCTCTTGAAGCAGTTAAATCAAGTCCTACACCCAAAAGGAAGGAGAGAACCGATTGTAAGATAACACCAAGCACTGATGCACAGCTACATTGTGTATTTATTTTAATATGTGGCAGAGTCTGGGAAGTTTCTTGTTTTATATGTCTAAAGAATTTTGGTTTTGGCCAGGCACAATGGCTCACACCTGTAATCCCAGCACTTTGAGAGGCAGAGGTGGGTGGATCGCTTGAGCCCAGGAGTTCAAGACCAGCCTGGGCAACATGGTGAAACCCCGCCTCTACAAAAAATACAAACAGTAACCAGCTATGGTGGTGTGCTGGTGTGCGCCTGTGCTTCCAGCTACTCAGGAGGCTGAGATGGAAGAATTGCTTGAGCCCAGGGGGTTTGAGGCTACAGTGAGCCAAGATCACACCACTGCACTCCAGCCTGGGTGGCAGAGTGAGACCCTGTCTCAAAAAAAAAAAAATTGTTGTGTCTCCTAAGTTTAGGATTTGCTTAAATGTGTTTTATGTAATTCTTTGTTTTCTTCCCCCTCTTTTAAGGTTGCTGGTGTTGTCGGCCGTGCAGACCTCCTGTGTGCCCTGTTCTTCTTGTTGTCTTTCCTTGGCTACTGTAAAGCATTTAGAGAAAGTAAGCATTCCGTTTGCCTTCTTAATTTTCCACTTTCTTCATGTTTTTGTCCTGTTGAGCAGCGTCTTAACAGGTGGGAAAGAATCCATCTATATGAGTGTGTCACTCTGAGGGGATGTGGACCAGAGGATGCATAAACTCTCTAGATATGTATGTCTGTTTGCGCCATTGCTGTTTCCATAATGCAAAGCTCTGACATGGGTGTTCACACTGTGGCCTATCCTATTGGGTATTGAGACCAAGAGCAGAAGCAGCAGGATTGAGTTTTGCTATTTTATTTCCTGCAAAATTATAGGATTGCAAATGATTCCAGGACAGCCTTTCCTGTTTTGATGTTCTAGGTATTTATTGCCCAGCTGTCCTTCCACAGCTTCCAAAGGTGGCTTGGAAAGAGCCAGGGAGATTTTTCATACACTGTCCCTCCTTCATCCCATCCTGTCCAGACTGAACCCAGGCTCAGGCCCTGTCTTGGAGCACCTGCGACTGCACTAAGGTGTAGTAGAAAAGTGACCCCAATGGCCCTAGCCTGTGCCAATACCCACTCAGGGCATGGGTACACACAACCACACCCACCCCCTTTTATTATTATTACTTTATCATGCCTGGATAAAACCACCACTTCTTCCCATCGCTTGTCAGTTTTCTGATACATTAGAGAGTTTGGGGACAGCTGAGCAGAACGGCTTCAAGTATTGAGAATAGTGGTGGTGACTTTTCTTCCTGTAGCTTAGCAATAATGCACTTCAGTCTCTTCCTGGGGTGGGGGTCTCCCCACCTGTGATGATTATAAATCTCCCAAGAGACATGCAGCCGCCAGAGACCTGGCGAGGTTGCATCGGCTGGCCCTATAATGAATTCAGTACCGTCGTGTAGCTCTTCGTGAGACAGTGAATCAGGAACAGGACTGGGAGGGAGGGGTACCTTCACTGCCTCACTGTTAACATTCACTACAGATAATGGTTCTTCCTTTTCAAAAGTTGGCAATTAAATCTGAATTTACAGATACAGATGATAACAGTTTATCAGAAATCATATTTTTCCTGAAGAAAATTAAAAATTAGGAGTTGTGGGCCCGGCATGGTGGGTCACGCCTGTAATCTCAGCACTTAGGGAGGTCGAGGTGGGCAGATCCCTTGAGGTCAGGAGTTCGAGACCAGCCTGGCCAACATGGAGAAACCCCGTCTCTACTACAAGTACAAACATTAGCTAGGCGTGGTGGTGTGTGCCTGTAGTCCTAGCTACTCGGGAGGCTGAGGCAGGAGAATCGCTTGAACCCAGGAGGCTGAGGTTACAGTGAGCCGAGATTGCGCCATTGCACTCCAGCCTGGGTGACAGAGCGAGACTGTGTCTCAAAAAAAAAGGAGTTGTGACTTTTCTCAAAGACAACTCTGAAGTTTCTGAAAGTGCCATTTTATTGATTTTAACATAATTTTAACATATCTTCCCTTAAAGTCACTACTCCCTATTCGGAATGGATTTCAAAGACATCAAAGTGATTTTTGAGGAAAGTACTAAACCTTGATAGATTTAACTTGTGGGGGACATCATTTATTAGATATGATGGAACCTGTCACTACTTCTAAAGATTGCTCTTGTGAAATAATGAAAAAGCTATCATGATACGAAACACTCTTCCCTCAGGTGAACAGATACGTGTATTGGCCTCCTTTAATGGAGTATTCTCACAGAAAAGTGAAAAGGCTAGATATTTTATATACTTTTTCTGGAAGCTTTGACTAACCTTTTCTCTGTTTTAATTCACAAATTTGTATATTAGTATATATTACATGTATATTTTGGATACATTTGTAAATTATACACTTATTTCCAAGTATCCATACAAAAGATACTTTTTTTATAAAGCTTTTGGCAAGAAATCAATACCAAAGTTAAAGGTACTGAAATATGTGATGGCTGTTCAGTTAGTTAACACTTTGACTTACGAGAAATAGACAAAGTATATTTCAATACTGACATAAATATATTGACTGTAAGTACCAACATGACCTTTCTTTTTTGTCCGGTAACATTCTTTTAGCATTTATAATGTTTATTTTAAAATTGGAAAGAAATTACGAGGACTTTAATGTTAAGTTTGTAGATGTTTTTGAGAGTGTTAAGCTGGGCGTTTTTGCATCTGCAAACCGATAGCAGTGGTAGATGTGGCTTCCGTAGAAACCTTTTTAAGATGACTAGATTTTGATTTGGTTGAAGTTACTTGGGGCAGTTAAAAGACGGATGGATGGACTGGGAAACCTTTGAAGAATGCTTTCTCTTGACCTCTTGTCTGCAAGCTGCCCCTTCTTCATGGGATCTGTTCTCTTGTTAACATGAACCCTCTTGAGGAAAAGGAAAGCGCTGATTTAAATGGAGCCGATGGAGTCGCCTCCAGACTGGTCTCTGGGCCTTCGCAGGCACCAACAGCTTACTGGGTCTTTGGAAAATACAAAACTAAAATACAATGTAAAATACAAAATAAAATACAAAATACAAAAATAAAAAACTACTTTGGACAGTAGTTTGCATCTTATGCTCATCCAGGCCTTGGTGTCTTGACCCCGAAACTGATTGTTCGTCCTGCATTTTGTGTCCTTCCTCTCCCCTCATGGTGCCCACCTGCCCCAGCAGACTTTGAGTTACGGATCATCACAGTTTTTCTTGGCAGTGTAAAGTGGACGGTTTGAAACACCCATCCTCGAGCTGCAGTTTCCATCCTTTGGAATTGGCTTTCACTGCTATTTTCCATTCCCACTCATCACTTCCAGACTTCCGCCGGAGTGATCGGATTCTGCCTCAATTCCATCGCAGGCCTGGAGGCACAGAGCCGCCTGGATTCTTGAGAGAGGGCCTTAGATACACGGTGACCAGCTTACTTGGGGGAGTCCCCTGTGTCCCACATGTGAGCAGGTCTCTGACCCCTCCCCAACAAGGTTCTGTGCCCTGAGACCCACCCTCTGTCACTTCAGGACCTCAGGACTGGATACCCAGCCCCAACCACCTCGTTCCCTGGCCCAGCAACATCAGAACAGCCCCTCACGCTGCCAGCCCGTCTCTCCCCTCCTCTTCACAACTCCCAAAGTTCCCTTTGTCTGATCAACCCCAGAGCCAGGGGTAATGAAGTCTGCTGGAGCCTCTCCTAGTCTCTTAGCAGAGGCACTGTTTTTAGCAACTTTTCTGTTTCTGATTTTCCATACTCCTTTTTAAACATGCTAAGAATAGAATGTGCTTCTTTGTTGATAGATGACAACTCTTTGGAATAATCCTTGAACATCATCATGTTAATGTTCAATTAAGTTCGTAGGGTGCTTAAGAGTCTTTTTTAGGAGGAGAAAACTTTCTACAAATGAATAATAACTTTACAGAGAAGAAGCAGTAAGAGCCCCATATGCAAAAATAATTCTGGTTAACGTGTTTGTGAAAAGCCGTGGTTTCTGATTCCGTTCTAAAATAGTAGAAAGGCTTATTGATTTTAGTCATTCATTCCATCACCAATAGTTAATCAAACTTTAAGGGTGTTTCTTGTACCAGGTCCGGTTTCCGGTGCTGGAGATACAAAGACTAGAACAACAAAGTTCATGCCCCTGAGGGGCTTACCGTAACTCCAGTATATTTTGATTAAAATAAAGCTTCCGTGATTCAGAATGTCTACAGAGCAGAATATTCTGGTTCTCCTTCCTTTCCTGTTGACTTTTTCCTTCCTGTACCCCTCATAGCAGGCACTCAGTAAGGATCCTTTCTTTTCATGGTGTGTTTATGCAGAATGGGAGGCCATGGCCTTTATTCTACTTATTTCCTTCATCTTCTATTAAATTTCCTTCAGTACAACAAAACAGAGCTCTTGATCCTAATGAAAATTCAATTGTATATATATTTTCATTTGGATCAAGAGCTCTGTTCCTTTGGAGTCTGAGATATCTTAAACAGTCACATGTTTATTTACTTATTTATTTTGAGACCAAGTCTTGCTCTGTTGCCCAGTTTGGAGTGCAGTGGTGCAATCTCAGCTCACTGCAACCTCTGCCTCCCAGGTTCAAGTGATTCTCCTGCCTCAGCCTCCCAAGTAGCTGGGACTACAGTCACCCGCCACCATGCCCAGCTAATTTTTGTGTTTTTAGTAAAGACGGGGTTTCGCCATGTTGGCCAGGCTGGTCTTGAACTCCTGACCTCAAGTGATCCGCCCACCTCAGCCTCCCAAAGTGCTGGGATTATGGCCTGAGCCACCGTGCCCAGCATTGGTTTTTTTGTTTGTTTTCTGTGGGTTTTTGTTGTTGTTGTTTGAGATGGAGTTTTGCTCTTGTCGCCCAGGCTGGAATGCAGTGGCACAATCTTAGCTCACTGCAACCTCTGCCTCCCAGGTTCAAGCGATTCTCCTGCCTCAGCCTCCCGCCGTGTTTTTATTTTACCCTATCTAGTCAGTACAAATTGTACAAAAAGCCGAGTGGTAAACACATGTATTTATTGTCATTGCAGTGGTGATTTCTTGTTCCAAGTGCACGTGTCTATAAATGTTCAGCAGAGAACAAAAACTAACTCTTTTGTGGTAGACAAGTCCATTATTTATTGAGATACAAGTAATAATGCTATTTAATGTTTAAATTTCAGGTTTAAAGTAACCCTGGTCTTTGTACTTTTGGGATCTGAACATAAATTCAAAGACAGGCCTAACATCAGAGGAACAAATTTAATATTATTTTATAAGGGAACAAAAAATTAAGTACTCTGAAATTAATGATTCAACTAGTTAATAAGTTCTTTCAGAGAATCCTTTTTTTTTGGTAACATCGTTAACTTTTTTTATGGATGGGATGTCTTTATTATAAAGCTCTGGACAATTTTTAACTGCTTGAGTTTATTCACAAGCAATCCTGTCCTAACCTCTGGAATCCTAGTATTTTCAGAAAATGAAGAACGTACTCACATTTCTGGGACTCTGCCTCTTTTTTTTTTTTTTTTTTTTTTTTGGTGCATAAATAGAATGTCTAGCAAGATCTTTGCAACAG